TGGCTTGGGTCAGGCACACCTTAGTCTTCAAGGTGACATCTTTGCTTTTTAACACTTTAAAGAGGTCTTTTGCAGCAGATTTGCCCAATGCAATGCATCTTTTGATTTCTTGACTGCTGCTTCCATGGGTGTTGATTGTGGATCCAAGTAAAATGAAATCCTTCAATCTTTTCTCCATGTATCATAATGTTGCTTATTGGTCCAGTTGTGAAGATTTTTGTTTTCTTTATGTTGAGCTGTAATCCATACTGAAGGCTGTGGTCTTTGATCTTCATCAGTAAGTGCTTCAAGTCCTCTTCGCTTTCAGCAAGCAAGGTTGTGTCATCTGCATATTGCAGGTTGTTAATGAGTCTCCTCCAATCCTGATGCCACGTCCTTTTTAATATAGTCCAGCTTCTCGGATTATTTGCTCAGTATACAGATTGAATAAGTCTGGTGAAAGTATACAACCCTGATGCACACTTTCTGGCTTTAAATCACACAGTATCGCCTTGTTCTGTTGCAACGACTGCCTCTTGATCTATGTACAGGTTCCTCATGAGCACAGTTAAGTGTTCTGGAATTCCCATTCTTCCCAATGTTATCCATAATTTGTTATGATCCACACAGTCGAATGCTTGTGCATAGTCAATAAAACACAGGTAAACATCTTTCTGGTATTCTCTGCTTTCAGCCAAGATCCATCTGGCATCAGCAATGATATCCCTTGTTCCACGTCCTATTATGAATTAGGCTTGAATTTCTGGCAGTTCCCTGTTGATGTACTGCTGCAACCACTTTTGAATGATCTTCAGCAAAATTTTACTTGTGTGTGATATTAATGATATTGTCTTAGTCTGGGTTCTCTGGAAAAGCAAAACCAGTAAAGTGTATACATATATATATAGAGAGAGAGAGACAGAGAGAGAGAAAGTTATACCAAGGAAACAGCTCACTCAATTGTAGAGGATGGAACGTCCCAAGTCCATGGATCAGGATAGAGGCTTCTCCTGATTCATGTAGCTTCAGGGGCTGGTGAACCCAAAATTGGTAGGTTGGAGAGCAGGCCTCTTGCTCACAGGCTGTGAAGTTTGAAGAATCCCAAGATTGTCAGGCAAGACTGCAAGGCTTCTCCTGATTCATGTAGCTGCAGGGGCTGGTGAACCCAAGATCAGCAGGGAATCTGCTAGCTCAAGTCCCAAGAACTGGAGGTCAGAAGAACAAGAGGCAGCTGCAGGATCCAGAACAAGCCAAAAGCCTTGGCAAGGTGAGCAGGAAGGAAGTAGGCGGCAGAGTGTGGAGAGATGAAGGCTGAGGGCCGCCTGCCGGTACCACTCAGCAGATTCCATCATGAGGGTGATCACATATCAAATTTCAACAGGGAAGTGATCACAACATTATACAACTGCCAAAACACTGAGAATTGTGGCCCAGCCAAGCTGACACACAATCTTAACCATTACAGATATTGTTCGATAATTTCCACATACAGTTCGATCACTTTCTTTGGAATAGGCATAAATATGGATCTCTTCCAGTCAGTTGGCCAGGTAGCTGTCTTCCAAATTTCTTGGCATAAAGGAATGAGCACTTCCAGCACCGCATCCATTTGTTGAAACATCTCGACTGGTATTCTGTCAATTCCTGGAGCCTTGTTTTTCACCAATGCCTTCAGTGCAGCTTTGACCTCTTCCTTCATTACCATTGGTTCTTGATCATATGCTACCTCATGAAATGGTTGAACGTTGACCAATTCTTTTTGGTATAGTGACTCTGTGTATTCCTTTCATCTTCTTTTGTTGCTTCCTGTGTCGTTTAATATTTTCTCAGTAGAATCCTTCACTATTGCAACTCGAGGCTTGAATTTTTTCTTCAGTTCTTTCAGCTTGAGAAATGCCAAGCATGTTCTTCTCTTTTGTTTTCTATCTCCAGGTCTTTGCACATGCCATTATAATATGTTACTTTGTCTTCTCAAGCTGCCCTTTGAAATCTTCTGTTCAGCTCTTTTACTTGATCATTTCATTCATTTACTTTAGTTACTCAACATTCAAGAGCCAGTTTCAGAGTCTCTTCTGACATCCATTTTGGTCTTTTCCTTCTTTCCTGTCTTTTTAGTGACCGCTTGCTTTCTTCATGTATGATGTCCTTGTTGTCATTCCACAACTTGTGTGTTCTTCGGTCATTAGTGTTCAATGCGTCAAATCTATTCTTGAGATGGTCTCTAAATTCAGGTGAGATATATTCAAGGTCATACTTTGGCTCTTGTGGAGTTATGCTTTCCTTAGATTAGATTAAACACTATGAATTCTAGGAGCTTAGATTTGATGTTGGCAAAATGGTCAAGAGCATGAATGTTGGAAATGGAAAGAGTGTGAGAAGTCAGGGCTGGGGATGTGGATTTTGAAATGGATGTCTAGGTGGTAATTGAATCCATACCCTCAGCAGTGGTGCTCAAGGAATTTCAAGTCCAAAAAAATAGTAGGGGTGAGGGAAAATGAAGGTATTAGGTGTTGACAAAATTATAATGCGTAGAAGTGGTATCCTGATAGTCTACTTTTCTTTGGTGAAGATTTGACCCACTTTAGGGATGAAGGAATGGTCTTGCGGTTCATGAAATATTGAGGTCATTATCTGGAGACCACAGGTAAAAGTTGGATCTTTGCCTCAATCATCCAGCTTCAGTTTAACTGTCAAAACCTGACCTGCAGTAGTTTTTGCCTATACACATTATAGATGAGGCAAGGATTCCAGATAGTTCTTTTTGTACTGGGGAGGATATTTCACACTGAACAAGACATGCAAGTTTTTTTTTTCTCTTAATCTTAACCCTGCCTAAAGTGATGTCTTTTTTTCTCTCCCCTAGTTGAACACTATACCAAAGTCTTAAAGAACTTTATAATACTATGCAGATGTTTTTAGCACTTTTAGAAAGTAGTTGTGCATAAGAAATGGTCTATTTGAAACAATAACCAAAGTCTCTTCCCAACAGATAATGATTCCACATGAAAACCGAACCAGTGAGGCCATGTACAACAAAATGAACATTTCCGAACTGAGTGCTGTGATACCCCAGGTTGGTAAAAACTATCCAGGCAAGTCTGTCTTAACTGTTCATTTTACAAACGATTCATTTTATGTGTTTAAATGTTTGCCTTCTAAAACCAGCCAGTCTTTTTGGTTATTATCATCTTTGTTAACTATCACATATTGTGTCCCTTTTCTGTGCATCAATAAGGAATGCTTTCTGTTTCCAACAATAGCTTAAAAACTTAAAGCCTGTTTTCTTATATGACAAAAGTTTAAACATAGGTAATTGTTGGTATCGATTCACTTGTTTAACAATGTCAAAGACCCAAATTCTTTCTATCTTTCTACTCCACTCTCCTTAGTGTGTTCGTTTTTTGACTTCATGTTTGATGACCCATGGTTGCAAGATGGCTACCACAGCTCCATCTATCACATCTGCCATCAGGGCAGGAAGAAAGGGGAAGGGCCAGTGATGGAATATCCAACTCTTTTTATCAGGATAAACAAAAGCCTTTCCAAAATATCCCTAGATTTCTTCCTTTTATTTCCTTTTGAGTAGAATTGGGTCACATGGCCACCCTACCTACAGGAGAGTCTGGGTAAATAACTGGTTTCTCATTTCAGTAGTGGAGACAGGCAAGAGAGCAAAGATAGGAAATCACTTTTAGGGCAGCCAATCTAAGATAGTGACGCTCTGAAGAACGGAGACATGTTACCTTTTATTACTGGTTGTTTTCTCCTGTGTTTAGAAAGGCCATGTCAGAGAGAAGACCAGTGCTGTACTGGGGCATCTGCATCTGTGTGTATGCCAGTAAACAAATGAGGGAGTGAGGGAGCGTGAGTGAGTGAATGAGAGAGAGAGAAAGTGAGTGTGTGAATGCACGCCCATGTGCTCCATTACAAGATGTGAGGAGGGAGAGCACAGGATACAGGGAGACTACAAGAAGGAGGGAGGGAGAGTGTAGGAGGGAAGAAGGGGAGAAGGAGAGGGAGCAAGTGTGCATATTACTCTGTGAGCATTTGTGTTATCCCTGTGTAGGTGATACCAGAACACATGTTCCACTTATGATTAAGGCAATAGATCTAGGTGGCAATGATCAGGAGTTTATTTTCTAGATTTGAGCAGTTGCATCTTTAGCTAATTATTCGGTCTGAAATCACAAGCAGTGGGTTATGTCCAACCTACTCTATTTGCCTTTCTTCTCACTTGCTGCTTTAGTTTCCTAGGACTACCATACCAACATTCCATAAACTGGGTGGCTTATAAGGATAGAAATTTAATGTCTCACAGTTCTGGAGGCTGGAAGTCCAAATCTATGTACCTACCAGGTCATGCTCCCTTTGAAGGCTCTAAGGGGAAGATCCATTCTTATTTGGTTAATGAATTGTTTTTATTTCTTTATCACACTCTAGTTGTTGTTGTTAGTTGATGTCAAGTTGACTCCAACTCAGGGTGACCCCATGTGTGCAGAGTAGGACTGCTCCATAGGGTTTTCAAGGCTGTGACCTTTTGGAAGCAGATTGCCAGGCCTGTCTTCTGAGGTGCTTCTGGGTAGATTCAAATCACCAAACTTTTAGCTAGTAGTTGAGTACTTAACCATTTACACCACGCAGGGTTCCTGGGAAGATCCTTTCTTATCTCTCCCAGCTTTTGGTAGGGCCAGGCATTCCTTGGCTTATAATTGCATCTTCACATGGCTGTCTTCCCTCTCTTTCTTCTCTTCTTTATAATGATACCACTCATATTGGATTAGGATTCACCCTACTCCAGTATGACCTCATGTTAATTTAACTGATAATATCTTCAAAGACCCTTTTTCCAAACAAGGTTACATTCACAGGTACGAGGGGTTAGGATTTCAACATACCTTTTTGGAGGACACAGTACAATCTGCAACATTACCTAAGAGAGGTTATTTCACTCTCTCTTTTCTCTCTCTCTTCAGTTTGACTGGCTGGGCTACATCAAGAAGGTCATCGACATGAAACTCTACCCCCACCTGAAGGACATCAGCCCCTCAGAGGATGTGGTTGTCCGAGTCCCACAGTACTTTAAGGATTTGTTCAGGATCTTAGGCACTGAGAGGAAGAAGTAAGAACTGTCACATGAATTTTACTGAGACTTTTGTTTGTCCTTTAAATTATAAGAGTCTTCCTTCTCATGTCCTTTGGAAAATGTTTTTTAAAAAAATTACATCAAAGGAACCACAGGGAAAATCATGGTGCCATTTGTGACAAATGGGGCCAAACCGTTCTCTGGTGTAATTTACTTGCTGCAATGAGAACAAATACACAATATTCTCGCCCCTTATATCTGGCCTTTCTCCATACTGTTCTCTCTGAGGGCCTAAATTGTTTATCAGTTGTGGGAACTAGTAATATAATGATGTTATTTCCTGAGATTTCTACATGAATGTCTTCTTTTTTTCTAGTTCATTTTCGGTCTTCAGCTGCTTTTTTTTTTTCTGGTTTCTTTTTCAGCTCGTAAGTCACTTTGTGGCAATAAACCAAAATATCTACAATGAACAGATATAAGACCATTAGGAGAGCTGTAGAAAAATTGCACTAATGAAACAACTTCAGGAACTGTCAGGTTTTTTCTCATTTTCAAGAATGTTTTAGAATTTGTTGTTTTGCTGCTTTAGCACTACAGAGAAAGGAAATCCTAAAAATGCCGAGGAAAGAGAATTTTACGTGTTTATTGAGCCATTCATATTTGACTCCAGAGAATGAAGCACAGAAAGGTGAACTAGTTGACAAGGACAATTTACTAAGCTAATTGCTGGGCCAGGGTTACAAATCATATTCTCTTATTTGGACTCAGACAAGGCTATGTTGCCAGGAGGTATGTACAAGAGTCGTAGGAATAAATTTAACATCCATCCTCACCCATGGAAACACTTAGACACCTTTGAAGAGCAGCTGTTCTTTTTAATACGGTATTTTCTGATGATCAGAGCAATATATGTTCATTTGAAGAAAACATACAGAAAAGTAAACACACAGAAAAGGAAGAGAAGAAACAATAACTCTCTTGAAATTCTACCACTTAGAGATCAGCAGTGATTCTTTGAGCAATTTCTAAATGAAAATTTGGATCTAGAGGCAGGTGTGTGTGTATATATGGGTTTTTTTTCAGTTGCCATCAATTCAATTCTGACCCATGGTGACCCCATGTGTGTCAGAGTAGAACTGTGCTCCTAAAGGTTTTCAGTGGCTGTTTTTTCAGAAGTAGCTTGCCAGGCCTTTCTTCTGAGGTGCTTCTGAGTGGACGTGAGCTGCCAACCTTTTAGTTAGCAGCGGAGTGTGTTAACTGTTGGCACCACCCCTTGTTATTCAAAGTGTGCTGTATGGATCAGTACTACCAGCAGCATTACATTGGGCCCTTGTTAAAAATACAGATCCCAAGCCCCCTCTTCATAGAGTCTGATATAGTAGATCTGGGGTGAGGCCCAGGAATCGGTATTTTTAACAAGTGCTCTAGGAAAGTCTTATGATTAGGTTTTGGGGGGAATCACTGCATTAGAAGACTTGTTTGTAGGTACTTTCTAGCTCTGAAACACCATAAAATACAGCCCAAATGATTCTCTACTCATATTTCATTGAGTTACTTGGCACATTTAAAATTTTGGTGGTAATTTCAGTTGGAAGGTGAAGTTTGCCATTCATTCTTTAGCAACTAATGAGCTAATTTCTTCTAGTGTCTGTGTTACCTTTAGTTGTAAGGTAGTAGGTACTTTTGGAAATTGCATTAATTTGATTTCCAAAGCAGCCTAATTTACAGCCAGGGGAAAGATTGGGCCTTGGTTTACTGTATTAGAAAAAAATCATCTATATGGTAATGATTATTGCAGGACATTTCATAACAAAAGGGACCAGGAAAGACTGTGATTAGAGGGAATTTTAATCTGGTTCTTGTCAAAATGGTAACTTGGACAAATATAAATATAGTGAATGACAATAGAAGAACATATAGGTAGAAAAGTTACCTGCAGATTTTATTTACATATAAAACTTTATTTTAAAATAAAGACAAAAACAAACGTCTTTCACATAGTTGTTTACTGCTCAACAACCAATTGTATTCTGTGTATTCTTGCGAGATTTCCAGACACTGTATACATCTTGAGAATATTGATAATAATACTTTATTTGCATAGCATAGTAAGCTTTTTTACGTTGCTAATCACGTTTGATCCTCACTCGTTTGGCGTTGCAAGGGTGGTCAAGGAAATGTTCTCCTGGGTTCCCATAGAGTTGTCGTGGGAAGCAAAGAAGGTATTTTATCATCGCTTAAACGCAATACAAATATAAGCTGGCACTAATTGAGAATGGGGCCGCTAACATTTCTTTTAAAAAAAATCTTCTGAGACAGAGACTTTAGGAAATGATTTCATGTTACTCTCTTAGTGATGGGTTCTCTGCTGGGCTGCTTTGCTTTCCTCTACTTTATTTATTGCTATTTGGGAAAATTAATGTTCTGCTGAAAATGCTTTTGAGGAAAAAAAAAAGAGCGATTATGTGTTACTTTCAAGGACTATTGTTGAGTCTGATTTTTGGTTTTGTTTTTTTGATGTATCTGAGCATTAGGTGGCAGTGATTCAATCAGTATGATCATATCTGTGCCAGGCATGGTAATGTTAGCACTCCAGAGTGGCGCGCCACAGCGTCCTGTCAGTATATTTATGCCACATGGAGAAACTCATCAGCACCATTGTCTCGCTGAGCGAGCTTCCCCACATTCCACCTTCCAGCTCTCACAGGTCTTGTTATGCGACTGCATCTTATCTTAGTAATGCCCTGGCCATGAAGGCCTCACACGCTATTCTTTTTTTGTACCCTACCCACAGGTTTCTGTAAAGTGCCACTGTTGGAGTGTTTTGGGGCCTGTGTGACTGGCCAGGAAATCTTTGCTGGATTAAAGGTGTTACTTCATCCCTTGTAGGCAGTGAAAAGCAGACGGACTTTTGAGTCAGAATCACCTGGACCTGGTTTAATATCCATGCCTTATTACCAACCTATTACCATCGAGTGGATTCTGACTCACAGGGACCCTATAGGACAGAGTAGAACTGCCCCCATAGAATTTCCAAGGCTGTAATCTTTACAGAAGCAGACTGCCACATCTTTCTCCTGCGGAGCAGCTGGTGGGTTCAAACCACCGACCTTTCAATTAGCAGTCGAGTGCTTTAACCACTGCGCAACCAGGGTTCCTTTCCCTTATTACAGTGGTTCTCAAACTTGGCTGCACATTGGAATTAGCTGGGGAGATTTAAAGACAATACTTACACTGGGTTCCACCCTAGAGATCCTGATGTAATTGGTCTGGGGCAGCCTGGACATCTGGACTTTTAAAGCTCCCCAGTTGAATCTACGAAGGTTGAGTCCCATGACTATGATTATGAGGAGTTACTTAATGGTTCTAGGCCTCAACTTTTCTTACACGTCAAATGGATGTAATACTATCTCTCCTATAACGGTGAGGGTTACAGATAATGTGAGATGTCTACCTAGTATGATTTCAGGGGAGCTGGAAAGGCCCACACTTCTAAAACCCGAACATACATCCTCTATACTGTCTCTTCCACTGCAACTATGAAGTCCCATTCGAACTACTTCCTTACTTAGTCTGGCTCATCACTGTCCTTTTGAGAGAATCTGTTTTGAATTCATTAGGGACATTTGCTGGCTGTTGACCTTCTAATCTGCACATGTGGATCCAGCATAGCTCTCACAGCCAGCAAGCAGTATTTTGAGACTGATGAACATATAGACCTTGTGTGAGGGTCAGGATCTGACTATTAATGTTCTAGACACTGGGTCTTGATTGCTGCCTGTGTCTCCCCAGTGTAGCTAGCTTCCCCGTCCACCTCCTCAAGTGATGGCTCTGCTCACCCTCCCCTCCAACACATCAGCTTATTCCCACATTATTTAGCCTGTCCAGAATTCATGTTCCTGCATCACACACCAAAATCTTCCAACCTTTAGGCACAGCTCAAGCCCCGTCCTTCTCATGAGGCCTACCACTATCCCCCAGTTTGAGGTGTGCCCCCTTTGGTGAGGTGTCTGGCACACACTTCGTGTGCCTCTCTTTTGGATGCTAGGGTCTGCAAAATCAGTATTTATGTGCTTGCCTCATCTCCCCTGCTCAGCTGAAAGTTTCTGGAGATCAGGGACTGTATCTTTCTTACCTTTCCATCTTCCCAACACCTAGAACTAGTAGTACATATCTGGGAACTCAGGAGGTGTTGGCTGAGTGAATGAAAGAAGGATCCCTTACGTACTTATAGTGTGTCTCTTAAATTAAAAAACCTGATTATACCAACAGCCCAAATCTGAAGTCCTGTGTCTCCAACTAGACTCTTAAATTCCCTGACTGAGGGGTTGGGTTCCTATTGCTTTACATTCCTCATGGCATCTGGCATAATAGTTGGCCAACAGGAAGTGCTCAATGAACACTTCTTGTGTGGCTCAGGAGTAGAGATGTGAACTCAAAAGCTCCAAAGGACTGACTGAAAACCACATACTTATTGTAGTGGTCTCAACAGAGCATGGATGAGGGCTGGGTGTTGCTGGTTAGAGCAGTGGTCTCCAAAGGGGAGTGTGCATACCCCAACACAATCCACTGAGTCCAAGACAATTTTAGAACTTTTATATATCTTTGTTTTTTTTTATTTAAAAGATAATTAGGTTTTACTGAGTTCTAATCGGTAGATAGGCATGGACACTTCATGTGATGCATACAATGTACATGATGGGGGAGGTGTCACCTTCACTTGTTTGTTTTCATTTGATATGTTGAAAATAATGTTAAACAATTTACACGTTACCTGTAGGTTTATGGATTTTATTATTTAGTTTAAACTAGGAGCCCTGGTAGCGCAGTGGTTAAGTGTTTGGCTGCTAACCAAAGGTCGGCAGTTCAAATCTACCAGCTGCTCCTTGGAAACCCTATGGGGCAGTTCTACTCTGTCCTATAGGGTTGCTATTAGTCAGAATTGACTCAACGGCAATGAGTTTTTGATGGGTTAGTTTAAACTAATCCTCACAAAATGGACAAGTGGCTTAAAAAATTCTTGCAGAGAAACAGAAATCAAAACTGTTATTAATGATGTAAACCACAAGTGAATGGCAAGAAAATGGCCAAAGTGACCCTCCTCCCACTCTAGTATGCCATCTCGGTTAGCCAGATGACAAGGTAAAAACTATGGTGGTCTAACCAGATCTGAAGAGAATATGGTCCAAAAAGTTTGAAATAGTCAAGAAGACTATTTGACATGTGGATTTACATCCACTGTCATCATTGTATAAACCTAATCCTTTGTGGATAATGTGTCTTGTAGAATTAACTATTGGTACTTGAAGGATTAACTAATGATTTTAAAAAAATTTTTGTTTCTTTTTTCCTCATCTTTCTAAATTTCTATTTCTGTATTTGTTTAAAAATGGCCCTAATATATTTGTCCATTAGTATATCTCTATATAAATTAAAATAAATATGCATATATTGGGTATATATGCTGAAAAATATTTTAATTCAGAGGAGTGTGTGTCTATTAGGTTAGAGCACCATGCAAACAAGGGTGTGGGTTGTTCTCGATGGGCCAGCTAGCATGTCACACTGCTCTCACATGACTGGCTGACCCCAGAGCCTTCTCAGGAATGTGTGTTATTAGTCACCATGGTAACAGCACAGCTGGAAGGGGATGGGTCATTAAAAATCCATCATCACTATTAAGTTAGAAATGAACTTAGATCACACATCCTTCTGAGGTCAGGGCATGTTTTGTTTATAGAGAAGGCAACACTAGCAGATTTTTAACAATATGTATTATGGGCATTACATGAGTGTGTGGGGTTGTTCGTATATTTGGAAGTGAATAATGACAAAAAAATCTAGAACCTACTCTTTGGCAAGCATTTTATCATTTATTTTAACTTCACAATAACCTAGTGACCATCCTTGTTGTATGATAAGGAAAGGTAAAATCTGAGAGCCTAAGTGACATGCTCAAGGTCATATATGTAATCAGTATGGAACCAGGGTGCAAAACTAGATAATTGGTATTAGCCGATATATTGCTGTTTGTTTCAAGAGGCAAAGGGTACATTTGCATCTTATGAAGTCACCTAATAATTGGAAGGTATTGACAATTTCTAGACATGGAAGGCTGAGCAACAGCAGACTCTATGCCTTTAGAGGGAAAGCAAAATGTTTACTCTGAGGCCTGGGGCTGGAATCTTTGTTTCATCTGTCTGTATTAGGTTGTGAAAAGCAAGCCAATTTTGGACACTTCTGGTTCAGCTTATTGACACTGCATCATTTTAATGTCATTTTCTCAAGTGAAAGTTCTGCATTTTTGCATAAGCAAGAGGTTCCTCTGGGGAAGCTTTGCCAACAATTTTTCCCAAGCTGCTCTGCAGAGCATCAGATATTGACCTAAAATACAATAAATGCTCATCTCTCTCTGTTAACAGGACCATTGCCAACTATTTGGTGTGGAGGATGGTTTATTCCAGAATTCCAAACCTCAGCAGGCGCTTCCAGTATAGGTGGCTGGAATTCTCAAGGGTAAGTTTAAGGAGGTGGCAATGTTACATCACTGGATAACTTTACATTGCCGGAACAATCTGTACATGAACTGATCCAAGGAAAATTAGCTTTACGGATTGGAGAGGGGGAATTTTACAATCTAAGCTCTACTTTTTGTTTGTTTGTTTTTTGCTTCTTTCTTTCTATTGAGGTATAACTTACATATAGTAAAGTACACTCAAGCTCTACTTTGATGGGACAATATAAAGGTATTTAGAATGATTCTTGGGGCCATCACATTGCTTTCAAACTCTCCCCCTCTTAACAACTTATTTCCATTTCTTTTCAGCATTTATAGCTGGGTCATTGTAATTATAGTTACAATATTTCTTAGTGATATACTTGTAACTGTCTTTTATTTTCAGTATTCTGAATATTCAAAATGGACTTGATATATGTAATGGATGATAGTTCCATCTTTACTTTTGGGGTAGAGTTTTGTCTTTAACTCTGCCTAGATCTTTAATCTTTAAAACTGTCCTAATTCTGCTAGGCCAAATAGGCCTAAACTTAGTCTCCTCTGAGACCTTACTCAACTACCTGAGATGCTTTTCTTCACCCCCCTCACCTGATTCTTTGATCTTTGCTTCTCTCCCATTCTTGTTACCCTCTTAACTTATATAGATGTTACTCTTTTCCCCTTTGTTTTTGAGGCTTTTGTCTGAATAATTCTCCAATGCTCACCACTAGAGGGCTTAAGGATTTTGTGATTTGTTTTTTGGTGATATTTTAAGTTTATTTAAGTTTTCTTTCCATTTAAAATTAAGTGAATGGTGACTCTTATTACCTATGATTTCATCAAACAGATGTTTTAGAAAGATTCTTAGTGGGTCATTACTCTTGAGAAGTAACTCAGTCATTTCCAATATATTTTGGCCCTATAAAATCACTAGAATATTAAGCTTTATAGAGAACAGCATAAAACAACTATATATATTTAGGTTACATCAAAGGGTTAAGCTGGGAAAAAGTAGATTTTATGTGCATGCGTATGTGCGTGCGTGTGTATTTTTAACTCCTATGGATCACATAAAAGATGGTATCCAGCTGCTTTCCACCCCCACTGTGAAGAAAATAAGAGAGAGGTGTAAGAAGTAGTGTGTGAAAATTTGAGGTTAGGTACGAGGGGATGTTTCTTGAGTGTGAAGTGCTAAATATAATACTGAATTGCCAAAGAAGGTTGTAGGATCTCTTTCTCTAGAGGTTTTAAAAATAGATTCATTTCTTAACTCTGGGAGGGATTGTGCTACCAGAAAGTAGAGGAAGAATAGATGAACTTCAGTGTTAATCCTGTTTGCTCTGTACAAATAACCTCTGTCTAAAATTGTGCAAGGGGCTCCTCAGGCCACCATTCGCAGGCATTCCTCTCACGTTGCATTTTGAGTACTCCTCCAGGCCTCCTTCCCCCCACCCCCGCAAACCTCCAAGGGCAAGTTAAACTATATTTATTTCTCTGATTTCATCCCCAAGAGTAAACCTTTGAGCTTTCCAAGTCCTACTTTGGGACCTCTTCACTTGTTTACCAAAAAAAAAAAAAAAAAAAAAAAAAAAATTTTTTTTAATGGTATGATCGAGACAGATGGGAAAAGTGTTTACATCTATATTTTACTTGGTTACCAGTGTGTTCTTTGCTATGACACATTGTAAATATGTTCCCTGGGTTGTGCATGCTAGTCGACATTCTCCTGGTCAGCACTGGGAGTGTACTACCCAGAGCAAGGAAACTCCCTTTGCATATGAACTGTGATCATTCCTATTGATTCTAGACCCTTCCTGGTGGAACTTTAGTTCTCGGTAGATATCAAATACTATAAGAGCACTCGGACAGCATCCCCACATCCCTATGTTGTCAAAACGTTTAATGGGCAAGATTGGAAGAAAAGGAGAAATACATAATTTTTCACTGTGAAAACATTTTCATCTGATTTCGCTTTTGGCTCTATGATCTGACCCAGGCATACAGGTTGGAGTGTGCAATGTTTTGTAGACTGTGCTTTCTTCAGGTTGTTTGAATTTTCTTCATCTCTAGGTTTTCTCCCAAGTGAAACTCTATCTGGATCAATTATCTCCCACAGGTAATCCAAGGGACCACAGCTTTGTTGCCTCAGTGGGACAAATGTGTAAACTTTATCGAAAGCGCCCTCCCTTACGTTGTTGGAAAAATGTTTGTGGATGTGCACTTCCAGGAAGATAAGAAGGAGATGGTAAGTCCTGCTCCCCAGTCGGTGAAGTTGAAGTCAATAGGCCAATGTCAGCCTTCCAGCTCTTCAAGGGATGAGTTTAGATAACAGCTTTGCTTCCAAGAGGAATTCCTGCAGTACAATATTAACTAAGAACTCAAACATACACAAATTGTAGACAGTAGTCATGAAAATTAAGGAATCTTAGAAGTGAGAAAACGAACATGAAACCATGCCACATAAAGTCAGTTTATCTTGGAGAAGTCAAATATTTGAAGTTAATGCTTAGGGAAAGAGAGGGCCCTAGATCATTTTATGACTGGATGTTTGAACTTTTGTAATTACAAATGATAGAGGTTTTCTACCAGGTCCCTTTGTTTTAGAGATGAGAAAACTGGCGGCCCAGTGATGAAGGGACTTGTAATGTATTTAACAACTGTTAACTGGTGCAGAAATAGAAATAAAATGCAACTTTCCTCTCCTCTTCTTATATCATACTGTTTTCCTAAAAACTTCAGAGGGGTGACATTTAACTGCACAGAAAAGACTCTGTGGCTACTTTTCTCGCAAACAAATGAAAAACCCTTTGATTTTGGAAATTTCTAAACATATATAAAAGTAGAAAGAATAGTGTAATGAACGTCCATATACCTATTGTCTGTGGCTATTTTTAATTGCTGTAATGGAAGTAATGACCCAGCCAGATACATCAACTAATAAACGCTGAGATTTAGTTTCATTCGTTTATTCTACAAATAATTATTGAACACCTATTATATGCCAAGCACTATTCTAGGCACTTGGGATACAGCAGAAAACAAAACAAAGATCCCTGCCCTCACAGAGCTTACATTCTAATGGGGGCAACAGACAATACAAAATAACACAATACATAAATTAACAAGTGTGCTCAAAGACAATAAGGACTCTGGAAAAAATAAAAGGGAGATCAGGGTCAAGAGCAATCGGGAGTGTTGGAGGAGTATGTACGGGTAGTGGGTTGTAGGATTAAAGTAGGATGGTCAGGGAAAGCCTCAATGTGAAGATGACATTTGGCAAAGATTTGAAGGAGGTGAGAGAATTAGATGTGGTAGATATCTGAGAGAAGAGTGTTCCAGTCAAAAAGGACAGCTAGTGCAAAGCCCCTAAGGCAGGAATGTGCCTGGAGTGGTCCAGGAATAGCAAGGGAGGTCACGTGGCTGGAGCAGAATGAGCGAAGAGGAGAGGCAGTGAGGTCAGAGTGGTAACAGAGGGGTGGTGGGATTTTGTAAGGCCTTGTAGGCCATAGTAAGAATGTTAGGTCCAGGTTGTTGAAATGGGAAGCTATTGCAGGGTTTTGAGAAGAGGCCTGACATGATCTGACCTTATGTTGAAAGGATCACTCTGGCTGCTGTGTTGAGAGAGACTGTAGAGGGTCAAGTGTAAAAGCAGAGAGATCAATTAGGAGACTTTTGGAGGGACCAGGCCAGAGATGATGGTGGCTTGGACCAGGTGGTAGCAGTAGAAGCCATGAGAAGTGGTTGGATTCTGAGTACATTCTAGAGTACCAAAAAAACCAAACCCGTTGCCATCAAGTTGATTCCGACTCATAGCACCCTATAGGACAGAGTAGAACTGCCCCATAGGGTTTCCAAGGAGAATCTGGTGGATTTGAACTGCCAACCTTTTGGTTAGCAGCTGAACTCTTAACCACTACACCACCAGGGTTTCCTTCTGGAGAGTAGAACCAACATAATTTGCTGATAGAATGGATGAGGGATCTGAGAGTAGGAGAGTTTTTGAGTCTGAGTGAATGGAAGTATGCTGTTAACTGAGAAGGGGAATACTGTGGGAGGATCAGTAGTTTAGTTTTGGACTTGTTGAGTTTGAGATGTTATTAGATTTCGAAGTGGAAATGTCAAGGAGGCAGTTGGGTATATGAGTCTGTAGTTCAGGAGAGAGGTCAGGGCTGGAGACTGAAATTTGAGAGCCATTAGTGTATATAAAATTGGGTAAGATCTCTAAGAGAGTGAGTGTGAGAAAGAGAAGGAGGCCAAGGACTAAGGAACCAGCCAAGGAGACTGAGAAGGAGCGACCAGTTAGGCAGGAAGAAAAGCAAGAGAGTCTGGTGTTCTGGAAGCCAAGTGAGGAAAGTGTATCAACAGGAGGGAGTGATCACCTGTGCCAAATGCTGCTGAGGGGTCAGGTAAGATGAAGACTGACCATTGGATTTAGTAACATGGTGCTCATCAGTGATGTTGAGAGCTGTTTTGGTAAAGTGGTGGGGGCAAAAGCTTGATTGAAAGGGGTTCGAGAAAGAATAGAAGGTAACTGGAAGTAGTCAGCAAAGACATTTTTTTTTTGTAATGAGTTTTGCCGTAAAAGAGAGCAGAAGAATGGGATGGTAGAGTTGGGGTCAAGAAAAGGTTTTTCTTAAGATAAGACAAATATCAGCATGTTTACATGCTGTTGGAGAGTAGGAAAAATTGATGCTATAAGAGAGAAAGTGGAGAATTGCTGGAGTGGTGTCTTTGAGTTGGCAAAAAGAGTGGGCGCTAGTGTGTAAGTGGAGGGACTGGCTTTGGATAGAAGCATGGATGGCTCATTTATGGCAACACAGTGAAGGCAAAGTTTGTGGGTGCAGATGCTGGTAGGTGGGTAGGCAGCAGTGGTGGTAGAGGTCTGTCCGTAGGCATTCTCTTCTGAGTCTTCAGTTTTCTCAGTGAAATAGGAAGAAAGGTCATCAAATGAGAGTGAGGATGGGAGAGCAGATGTTGAAGATTGAAGAAGAGAGGAGAAGGTGTGAAATAGTGCGCCAGGAATGTGGGAGAGTGAATAAACTGAGGAAACACAGTATGGCGGCCTTGAGGCAGTAATGATCTAGGTGAGGCTCAAGGTCACAAGAGACTAGTCATCAGAACAGTGTGTTTTTCTTCATCTATTTCAGCTGCATTGAAGGAGATAGTGTATTTTGAACTAGAAATTTGGATTTAGCCAGTTTTTTTTGGTGGCATTTTCTTCTTTGTGATGAATTATATTTCACAAACGGCATGAAACAAAATATCCCAGTGTGATTAACTAATAACAATCCATGTAGTCGATCAGATATGAATATATGAGCAGCTTGGATGTGAGTGCTTAATAAATACTGGATTTAAAGGCAAAGACATGAAGTCTGTTAAGTCGTGATAATTCCAATGGTTGCTATTATGTACTGATACATAATAATATCAAATAATTGGTATTATATACTTATACATAATACACAATTATATATTATATGCTGGAGTTTGCTTTAGAATCCCATAAATCTAAGAATATTTACCTCTGTTAATTTTTTTCAACTGTCTTTTAATACTTTGGAGAATTTTCTGCAAAGTTTGAGACTTTATATTAAACTTGAAAGTTCTCTTCTTACAAATAATTCCACAGAGGATTAATGTCTTATTTCAAAGTACTCAATATCCTCTTGTGTCTTTTTCACTCCTTGGTTGGAGTAAATGGAGGGAAGACTGATCAGATAATCACAGTGGTAACATTATAAGCTCTGGAAAGAATATAAAAACAAGGGATAGTGGAGGGTTTTTTTTTTTAATATAGCAGGAGTTTTTGGGTTTTTTTTGGCAGTAGAAGAATTTTAAGTAATATGAAAGGCATGTGGATTAAATTGTTTTTCTCAGTTTTAGCGTGAATGCCCATTTTTCATGTGTCAGGGTGTGACGTTCTAAAATAAAGTTGATTTTGGCATTCCCCCTACCTTATTTTGATGTACATGGGGGTTGCGTGATAGTTACACAGATACTCATCTATTCTACATGAAATAATTTGCCTCCGTTGTGCTGAAGCTAATTGCCTCAGGGAATACTTAAGCTGGAAACTTACAAGAGAGAAATATCCTGGCTTTTTATAGCCTTGTTACAGGGCTCCCATGCAAGAACCACCTGGAACCACTGATTTACTTGAAAAACATTCTGTATTATTAGCTACAGCCCAAAGAAAAAGAAAAATAGAAAGATCCCCAACAGGACACATTTCAGAGGCTCTAACTCAAAAGAAAGGCTGCCATTGTTTTATCTACAAAAAAGTTTGTTAAGCAAATGAGTACCATCAGAAGGTTAAACTTCAGATACTTCTCAAACTTTGAGGTGCACAAGAATAGCTTGAGGATCTTGCTGTTAAAATGCAGATTATGATTGGGTGTAGAGTAGGACCCAGGAATTTGCATGTCTGACAGGCTCCAAAGGAACCCTGGTGGCACAGTGGTTAAGTGCTGGGCTGCTAGTAGTTTGAACCCACCAGCAATTCCATGGGAGAAAGATGTGGCAGTCTGCTTCCATAAAGATTACAGCCTTGGAAACACTATGGGACAGTTCTACTCTGTCCTATAGGGTTGCTATGAGTTGGCATCCACTCGACCGCAATGGGTTAACAGGTTTCCCCAGGTGATAGTGATGCTGCTGATGTTGCTCCAGGGACCTTTTTTGAGTAGCAAGAGCTTAGCATCATTCATTTGTTTGTAAACAGTTATCACCAATAATATTAATAATAATAAAAATAAAAACAAGCCCTGGCGATTCATGCGATCAGGTCAGGACAGTTGACTTGGACAGCAATACTCCATTTACCAAAACCGGTTGCATTAGTGCAAGTAACTGTTTCAATTTTCAGACCATTGAAAATTTTTGTAATTCAGATTGGCTTAAATGGACCATGCTAAATCCTGTGTGAAGGCCTCCAGGGTCGTTTGTTTTGCTGAACTATTTAGTCCTTTGAAAACTGGGGCCTAGGTTCCTCCACGGGATTCCCTGCTTCTCCTCAGTATCCCTGTTTAGAGCATCTATAGAGCCTCTTAATGGTGGGGCTGGCCCAAGTGCCTCTGGTTGGTACTGGTACCAGTGTTAGAGAGGGTGAATGGGGGAGAGCAATTCACTTTGAGGCTTCCTATGTAGAGGAGAAAGTATTTTCCCCTGTAGATATGTGGCTGTTAATGACAGATTTAAACACCTACCTACCAGAATGTTCTTCCTTTTCACTGGGGAACACAT